GTTTTTTAATTCAATATTATGGTTCCTAACTAAATATGGTTCCTAACTTTCAGTTTATTGGCTATGACTTCTAACTGAGCAACCATTCGTTTTTATTATTTTGAATTATGTCTCTTGAAGTCAACATTGCATTTACATATGATTATTTGAAAAGTATCCAATTGTCAAGATCCAGGAGATAGTACATTTTTCCCAACAGCACAGCTTGGGAAAATACACTCATAAATGGTGCCACATGAAATTTAGTTGGAAATAATACTTAAGAGTAAACTAGATAATTTATTACACTATAAATAGAATCTAGAAAACCAGAGTTAAACATTTACAAACATATTTTAAAACAATCTACAATGACTTATATTCTATCTTAGGTCATTTATATCATACAATGGCAGGATGATGTGCGACAATTAAGCAATATTTTGAGTTTCCCTGAGAATGCCAAATAACTGGTCTGAGTGTTCTCTAAATAAAGTGATTATTAAGCCAAGTTTACCATATATTTTTGAGTACATAAACACAACTTAAATCTTACCAATAAATGAGGCAAAAATGAAGTTATTTTCTCTACTGGGAATTATGGCATTATACCTTAAAAATCTGAAAAAATCATGTTGACCCAAAAACCACACAGACTTCCTGTCAACTTATGTAAAAAGTTACAATTTAATCAAATAGATATTTAGAAAGCTAAGGTAGTAAAAGGAAAGTTTAAAAATGTTCACCTTCAATTTATATCATAGGTCACTGTTATATCATCTAATAAGATAATTAAAAACATGCAAGCAGCTGGTACTACAGCTAAACAGATTAATGTAATAGTCTGTAGTCATGTGTGCTGGCAAGGGGCTTGCCTCTTTTGGCGAGGAGAAGGTCAGCTGCCCTTGGGAAGAGGAAGGGAGGGGTAGCCCTGTGACACAGTCACTAAGTTAAACATCTACAGCAAACTGATAATCAGGAAACTGCCTCTCTTCTTTCATCCCCATCAAAGCTGTTTCAGCCTTAATGGGTAAATAAGAAATAGAAAAAGCTCATATAATTTGGCAGAAAACATTAACATTGGTCTTTAAAAAGTATAAGACATATTTCATAAAACTAATAATGTCTTCTAAATTCTTACAAATTTCACATTTTATCATGCCATCTACAAATTAGTTGAGGGATGTACAATCAAAAATTTTAACCAAAGTTTCCAAAACAAGATCTGGTCTACTACTTGAGTATCATATAATAATCATACTGGCACCTTAGGAGTTAAATGCAGCTGTATTCTATCCAGATCAATGAAATAAAACCACAAGAAGATAAAAATCCAAAGTAAAACCTCCTAAACTATAACAAATAGGTTTATGAGCATTAGGCACATAAAGCTATAATTAGGGTCCATTGATTTTAAATTTCAAAACTTATCTGTCAAAGTTGAAAATATCCATCTCTGAACTTATACTAATAGTAAAACATCTTAGTCCGGCACGGTGGCTCACGCCTCTAATATTAGCAATCTGGGCGACTGAGGCCAGAGGATCACTCAAGGTCAGAAGTTTGAGACCAGCCTAAACAAGGGCAAGACCCCGTCTCTACTAAAAAATAGAAAAAAATTAGCTGGGCATGGTGGTGCAAGCCTGTAGTCCCAGCTACTAGGGAGGCTGATGCAGGAGGATTGCGTGAGCCCAGGAGTTTTGAGGCTGCTGTGACCTGGGCTGACACCACAGCACTCTAGCCTGGGCAATAGAGGGAAACTCAGGCTCAAAAATAAAAGTGAAGCAAAACAACTTCCCTTAATTTTTACCAGCTGTTTAACTTGGAATACTTTATCAGAGATTAAGAGTCTCAAGGCCTAGGTTAAATTTGATCTTAGCTCCCTTTCTGAAAATACAAAAAAAAGTCATTTTCTTGTAAGATATATATATTTTTCTCTTCCTTTTGGTGTCTGTATTAGAGCACTGTAAAAACCTCTACAATACCAAAAGGTTAACAATGATGATAATGACATTGACTGGAACATAAAAGCAACTTTTACTCAGCATTTACCATGTGACATTATCCATTAAACTTATTTGTCAAAGTTTATCAACTGTATTTTATTATCAACCGTAATTTATTATCTCCACTTCAAAGATGAGGAATCTAAAGCTAAGACTTGTCCTAAGTATTCAGAGCAGTTGGAATCAGGAGTTGAACCAACATACTATGCTTAGATATTATTTTAAAAAACAAACAAAAACCCAGAGACTATGCCCTTTTGAACCTAACAATCTAATATCATAATAAGACAAATAATGAAAATAATATAGATTTGGGTGACCAATTCAAGACTGAATTCAAAAGTTAATAAAATCTCAGCATATGCTACAGAAGGGTAAAAGCACTGGAGGATGAACACAGGCAACAGTTACCAATTTACATGAAGTGAGCACACAAGAAGTATTACCATGGCTTTGCATTTACATTTTCAAAAGGCTGTATTTCATGCGTTTTACCTCAGTCTTTAAAACAGTTGCAGGAGGAAAACAGGTTAGACATTATAGTACCCATTTTATAAATGAAAAACTAAAGCTAATCTTAATCCTGGACACAAGTATATACAGCTTGAGTATGTTGGTGATAGAATTAAGGCCTGAGTTGTCTAACTGTGAATAAGGTTAGGATTTATGTTACAGTTTAAATAACACAAAAGTAGCATTGTTAGAGAAAAGTAGAATTTTTATACAAAAGGACATTTGAGGGTTGAAACGTATATTTTTCTAATAACCTACTTCTAGTTAGTTTGAAAGAGCTAACTTGGCAACAGAAAAATAATTTTGATTTTCAAAAGTAAATTTTATTGACAATTCTCTTGTCATTTTAATGTGATTCTGCAACAATTTCAATGTTTTGTCAGTTAACCTTAATATGAAAATATACCCCAGAGCTGTACTTCTATGAATTCTACATTTAATCTAAGTGTCAAATTCACAAGTAAGCTCATTATAAGAACTATTGCCTACTAAGTTGGAAAATATTCATTTCACACCTTAAATACTATAATACTATTTAATAGCAGTGCTGGCCTGCCAACTATTAAAAGCCTGCTTTTACATACTGTACTACCTGAGCTTTTTATCTTGCCTTTTTAATTACGACAATAAATTAATATCCTAACATTACACAGTGACAGGCATTGATTAAAAATATTTAGTTAACATTAGTATTTATTGTGCAAAGTTGCATTAGGAGTTCATTTTCAAAATATAATTATCATTCAGTAATACTGATACTTTAATCTTCAAACTATTCTAGAACAAAATAAACTACAAGATAATACTGTGCCTTCACATTAAAACATTTCTCTTAACTTTATATTATATCCATTATTTACCATAATTAGCTAAACTACAAATGTTAATTGTAAAATATAATTCACCAACAAAATTTATACACAAATAAAGAGATTTTCCTTCCTTTGAAATATATCCTTTTTTCCTTTTGTTGTAGTTATTTTTAATATATTTATTCCTAATAATATTACCATCATAGATTTCATACATATTATCATATTAACATTCCTCAGTTACATGCTAAATCATGAATATTTATTTAACTATCTTTCATATTCACTTTTTTTGGTTATCATTGTTATCAGTTATGACATGTTCAGATAGGGGATTCTACTTATTATTTAATATGTCAAATCCAAGCTTTATATTATGCTTCAGGACTAAAAGAAGGATTTGGAGAATTACAACATTTATAAGGTAAGATAGATACAGTGAAAATATAATGACAACATGTGAGCTGTATTGCTGTGTTAATACCCTTTCAGAACACCAAGGGAACATAAGCCTTTTGTAGTATCTGTGACACTTGAATGACTAATTATTTATACGGAACCCAACTGGTATAAAATAAAGATGTCAAGTGTTTCAATTACCATCTCATTTCTAAAATTCATAAAGAAATTATAAAAATTTTATCATTTACCACATTCTTATTAAGTACCTCCTGTATTCATGTCCCTACTTTAGATGATAAAAGCTTACCTGAAATCTGAAGAAACAAATGATACAGTTCCAATTAAGGATATAGAATAGGTATATAGCTAAAAACATAAACTAAGCATAAATTCCATGTTTATTATAGAAAAAGAGATATAGTTTAATATTCAAATGAGTTTCCAAGTATACAGTGATTCTTACATATATTTTATAGCGTTGTTACACAAGTATCAGAACTAATTAATCATAAGGACAATGTAGACCAATTAAAGTATTTCTTCAGGAATCTGCATTGCTATCTTTAATGTTAAAATGTATTATTACTGAATCTGTATTTATTTTCCTAAGAGAAAACAACTGAATTCTTACAACCACTTTGGTTCAGTATACATATTTTCAAATATTACTGAAAATACTTTAATCTTTTATCTTTCTGGGTTTCCCTATTATAAAGGTACAAAAATCATAAACATTTTAACTCAAAATTCAAATCATGAGAATATTAACAAAGGACTAGATAAAATACATATTTTCTTAACTAGCATATCCTTTTTGTAAAAAATTACTTATTGAGATGTAACTGCCCTATTTGCTGAAGAACTCAAGCAGGATATTAACAAATAGCACTTAATTCAACTATGAATTACATTTTAAGCTCTTAGGCACTTGTCAGCAGTTCTCTGTTTTAGTAAGAAATGTAAAAGGAAGCTTTAGTACTGTAACAGATATGGAAAAACAAAAACCAAAAATGGATTGTAATGAAGCTTAATACCAAATGTGTATTCATTCCAATTATCCTACTATAGAATAACAACAGGTATCTGCAGTAAGTTCATTTACTCAAGAATTTAGGATGTTATATTTTCTGTTACTCATTAAATCTGCAATCACATAACATAATATTCTTTACATTTGTTAGATTTTTAAAGCACAGGTAGTGGTTCCTTATTCTAAGATTAGAATCCTGTATGATTATGTTTCTTATACATTATCCTGCAATATCATGTCTATGTATTCATCACCTACCTATAGGAATTAAAAGTCCCCTCAGAGTCTAAAGTAGAACTTGTTCGTCTTCCATTTTTATTTGAATCTCCTGGAAAACAAAATTTAAAACACTGAAATAATGGAGATTATGAAACTGATTATTTCTGTTGAAACTACTATGTGATAGCTCTATGCAACGTGTTAGTCAAAAAACATATTTACTCACCCCTCCCCCAAGTTATTTAGTATTCAAAGTTTTTAGGCGAAAAAATGCATTTTGATGTCAAAATATAAACCAACAGTCCACTCCTAAATTGGATAGTAATACTGCCAAAGTAATTGCTAACAGCAACAAATGAAGTATAGTAGACATTTTCTTCTTATGAATCACAGCAAAAACTAAAATTTATGAATCACCTAAACATACACTAATGTTTATAAATAAAGGCAATTTTTTTTATTAGTGGCCAAGGCACCAATCCTAATCAGCAACACAGTCAAAGGAGAGGAGTACAGAGCAGACAGTAAGGTTTTCCAGCTCACAGTTCACCACCTCTGGGAATTTAGAAAGCAGACATCTAAACCAGAAAGCAGACCGGGGAGGTGGTGATCAAGAACACATTTTAATAAACTTTTAATATACATTAACGTTCTTCATAAAATTTTAACTGTCAAAAGTTCAGCAATTTAAAACATGAAAGAGTGACAAACCAAAAGTTATTTGTGTCTCCTGTAATGATACATTTAGAAAAAAACATTTTCAACTGAAAAATTGTCATATTCATAAAATCAAATTTAGAACAAATTCATACATATCAGTTAAAAGACTATAAAATAGAAATAATTATACTAAATAAGTTGAAAAAATTGTTTACTTATGCCCCAATATAAAATATATTTTCTTATTAATAGAAATTTAACAGTTAAATTTTTTAAATATATGCTACAAATTACAGTTTTCATGAAATCATGGTATACTACTATTAATATACTATTAATATATAGTACTATTAATATACTATTAATATATTAATACTATTAATATACTATTAATATACTATTTATCTTCAAAACAAAAAGACTAGAATCTGACTACATTTTATACCCTGAATTTCTATAATTTAACTTTCAAACATCAGGTTATATTCATTTTTAAAATATTTACAGCTTAATAATTTAATGATTCATCCCATTTTAATTTATACTTTTAATCCACTTTGAACAATCTAAGGTACTACTGAAAATCATTGCAGTGGCCCTGGTTAAGTCAAATAGTAATTATAGAGCTTTCACTTTAAAGATGAGATTATTTTTAATTATTGAGTATAGTACTTAAGGTACTATACTTACATAATTATGCTACTCATTAAATGGTTACTGAAAGCTAAAGTGTAATTTTAATGACAGCTACCTATTTTTCTTTAAGCATTTTATAGTTGACAGATTAGTATAAAACATGGGTTCTCTTCAAGAAATTGGTGAGATATGTGCACCTATGCCAAAGTGTTCAGGAGGTTGAGGACTAGCCCGCTTAATAAACTTTTAACTCTACTCATTTTTTAAAATACACTTCCAGGTTTTTTTGGTTTTTTTAAAAAACAAAAATCCTGAAAAATGTATCACATCACTCAAAAATGGTGATAATTTATAGAAGAAAATAATCCCCAAACACTTAAATACTTAAAATTAATCTAGCTGGTATATATTGTTAATTCATTGAAAACATGAATACAGTAAGATTACTCACACAACACACTTCATTTTCTTTTTAAAAATTAATATAATAAACTAAAAAAATTAAAGGAAAATTAGTCTCTGTCTTGCTAAATGAAATTTCTTACAGCACATGTTATTTAACAGCTTGCAGACATTTCCTGTGAAACATTCCGTAATCAGTATAGAATAAGCACTATATTATACATTTAAAATATGAGCCTTCTTTCCCCTTAAAACTAAAGATTATGATTAAATATACAAAATCTTGCCAATAGAATATTTTTTCTTTAAGCTGATATTTATCAAATCAAATATAAAATCCTTCAAATAATTAAGAGATTTAGCTTTTTAAACAACCAGAGTTTATCATAAGATACTACAAAGGGTTCTTTAGTTTATAACTATTTCCAAATGGAAATATTACATTAAATATAACTTTCAAAGTGCAAAACACCATAACGATGAAAAAAAGAAGTTTTTCTTTCTCAAAAACATACCAAAAGGAGTACAATGGTTTCACTAACAATATTAGAGAAAAGATTTCAGAGTTTGCTATATGGGGAAAAGGCAATAAAGTTTTGAAGCGGGAAAAACGCTTTGTTCCCTCAATCCTCTAGTTGAAATTAATTATAGCAAATGTTTATGAAAACATCTGTTCCTTACAGTTATAAATTCTTAATTTTAGTATGGACGATTCCAGACTCTTATTTTGGAAGGAAACTGTCTGACTATTGAAAGGTTTACAAAAGAACAGACAGAATCTGTAATTTTGGAAAATTGTATATACAATGTGCTATATCCTGTAGAGATTTTCATTTGTGTGAAACATTTGGGGGGGGGGGCGTGCACAGCTTAAAATTGGTAACTAGGAGAAATCAAAGACAAACAGAAAGGCTCATCTTTCAATTAAGCTGTAATACGATGATAAAAACATATCTGTAACACAGGAAAACAGCAACGAAGAATTACAAGCAAATGTTACAATACTATTCAGTCTAATTTGGAGGCAGTATAATAAAATAAGTATTAATTTTATCAGGGATTTAAATAAATGTAATGACAATACAATCACAGGAACATATGTGCGGTGTTCCTCAAAGATAACAACAGAGGGTGCAAGAGAGTTTAATATGTTACTTTTAGTTGCTATTCTGATTCTTGAACTAAGTTGTCAGGTAGCCATAACTGTAACAAGGATGCATAGGCTGTTTTCCGATCACATACACACATAAATACATTGGTAATCTTACACAAAGACCTTTAAATGATCAAACAGCACAAATACCTAAATGTGTTTTTAATATAACAGACTTCCTTTCACTTGCTTGAAAAGTAATTGTTAACAATAGAATAAATTTTTAGAATAGACTTTAAAGGTTTTCAATACCTAATGTAAACTAAGCAGTCAAATAACTTGGATACATTTACTTAGTACATTTTAAATACATGTATACATTATACATAATACATACATATATATATGTGTCACTATATGTGTGTAACATTGTGCAGCATACATCTATAGAAACAGTTCATCAATGACATGTGAACACAGAGTTTGAAATTGACATAACATCCATTTCTCATTAGTTGGTAAGTAACTTTGCAAAATGATTTCATAACATTCATAATTAAAATAAGCTGTCTGATTTGAAAAAATTAGGCTGGTAGTTGCATTAGTTTAAATGAGGAAGAAAATGTATAGTATTTTCCAATTGTAATTTCAAACGTGTATCTAACTTATTAACCCAGTAAAATATGTATATTTGTAACTTAACTTTGAAAACAGAATGAATGGAATTCTGTACTCCGTTTTAGCTTTAACTGCAGTTATGTCTAACTAAGGACATGTATAGGTTCTGTCTGTGTGCTATGGAAACCATGCTAATTCTGTAGTATTTTTTATATACAAATACCTAGTTCATGAAGGGAGAATAAGTGATTTTAAACCAGGTTAGGTTAAAAACAACCAGGATAACACTATAAGTAAGCATATTCAAACGTGCATCTAAAAACATCGAGTTTTAGAGTATTATATCACGAGGTATGAATTCTGAAAAGTATTACATAAGATTTTTATCTCTGAATTGTTAAAGAATTGTCTCCAACTGTGTCTGATTAATATTTAATAGTAAGAGGGAAAAATGACTTGGTTCAAGCTATGATGAAAAAAAAGCTATGGGTATAGTTGTGTAGAGACCTGAAAACTTTTTTGTCTTTTAAATGAATTTGCATATACTACTGAAATATTTTAGTTAAATTTAAAATCACTTATAAGGTAAATGATTTTTAAAAATTATGAATAAAGTATATTCATATACTGACACAAAGTAAAAGCAAAGCATAATGACTCAGAGTCATCCATAAACACAGTAGCCACTAAGGATATTACATCATTTTAGAAATCAGGCAACCATCAGCCTTCCTATGCTGATAATTTATAGTAAAAATGCAGAACCACCCATTAGATCTAAGAGCCAGTGCTAAAGTCAATAAAGAAAATCCATGAATTTTTTAATTGTCCATATTCTCTATTATTAATTTATCTACATTCTAATAATTTAATAGCCATATATAGTACTTTAAATATTTTCAAAATATTACAGATAATGAAAACTCAAGATATAAAATAGAAAGGCATAAGGACTATTTTATAATAAAAAACATTTTCGAGTGGATCATTTTAACTTAACAGAATATTTTGTTATTCCTATTAAATCTTTAATAGAATTCTTAAAAAAAAAAAAAGAAAAAGAAAAAGAAGGTATTTTATATGCCCTCATTTACTAATGGCTAATACCAAGGCATAAGCTAAGATCTCACTTTCCAGCAGTAGTAGTAGACTGCACTGAGCCATGCCAACTCCATGTTATCCTAAAATGACTAGTAAAATGTACTGTTTAGACTGGGAATGGTGGCCCACACCTGTAACCCTAGCACTCTGGGAGGCCGAGGTGGGAGGATTGTTTGAGATCAGGAACTGGAGACCAGCCTGAGCTCAAGAGTGAGACCCTCTCTCTACTAAAAATAAAAAAAATTATGGGGTGGGTGGATTGTGGCAAACCCTGTAGTCCCAGCTACTCAGGAGGCTTAGGGGGGAGGACTGCAGTCTGCCTGGGGCAATAGAGGGAGACTCTAACTTTAAAAAAAAAAAAAAGTACTGTTTATTAGGGGAGGTGTAGTCTTCAAATGCCAAGTAGAACAGTATTATTGGCCTGTGTGGTCCTCCCGTAGATCACCTGGACCTCAAAAATACCTTCCTACAAAACAGTTATATAATGCCAATGCTGAAATTTAGACAATTACAAAACATATTTAGACAATTACAAAACATGAGGAAGTAGATAAACAACAAAGTAGACTATGAGAAGAACTTGCTAGTAAATATGTTGA